AAATCAAAAAATTGATCAAACATTTGATAAAATAGAACTAAGAAAAAGCCAATTCAAAAATAAATTAAGCAAATTTACTGGTGATAAAAAATATTCACAAGAGATTGAAAATCTATGAAAGGATTTCAAACAATTATTTGACAAAAGACTGAACTGAATCCCAATTTTTCATTTAGTGAAGTGGCCATTGAAACTTGTCATGAATTACTTGGAGAAGGAAAAGGTGTTGCTACTTCCACAATAAAAAAACTTCCATCAACAAAAAACAAATCCTAGAAGGAAAATGATAGAAACAATTTAGGAATGGGTCAACAAAGAAAAGAAGAAAGAAGTTGAGTGTAAAGTTGATGAAGATAATGAAAATGAAGAAAATATAAATATTAATAACAATATTGATAATAATAAAAATAGTAGTAATAGTGAAAGTTAGATTTTTGTCAGAGTGCCTAAAGAATAGGTAATATAAATGGCTTTGGGTCAGAGTATTTTCCTCCCATGCAAGTACTCTGACAATTATTTAACTTATATTTTTATAAATTATTTATGTATTTTTTCTATTATTGTCATGAATAAATTCCAAGTCATGTGCCTACTAATTTATCATTGGTCAAAATTATGTGTTTAATTGTAACAATAATGATCTAAATCTAAATAAATAAAATAAAAATTTCAAAATGACAACTTTCAAAAGGAGTAAAGACTTTTCAATAGGAAAATTGAATGAGGCAGAAGCGGAGTTGAGGCAATTCAAAGAAGGGGAGAATGATGGGAAGTGGCTAGAAGAGTTGAGGGGAAAGGTGAGAGGTGGCAATCTTAATGAAGAAGAGAAACAAGAAAAGATAAGGCTGGAGGAAGAAGAGAAAAGACTGAAAAAGAATGTGGACAGCTGGGGGGAGTTGGTAAGGAAGGAACTAGATAAAGGAGAAGGTAATGAACAAATTATGTAAAAAATATACAAAAAATTATTTTCCATATATTCCACTCATTTATTTTATTTTATTTATTCAAATGGGAAACCATATATTTTAATTGTATCCTGAATCAACTTTTTAATACTCCTGTTCATCTTTTGTCCATTAAAGAAGAATCAGGTAAGTCAATTTTTATGATGAATTTGTGAAATGTAACTAACTTGTGCTCTTTTTTCTCCCCTTTTTTCTGTTGTTATTGATCATTTAACCATTTTTCAGGAAGAGGTAAAAAGAGGCAATTATCTGAAGTAGGTATGAAAGAAATATATTTTTTATTTGGATAAACATTGTTTATTAGGTTTAAAAAAAATACAACAATTAGCCAACTATATCTTGCCTCAACCTTTAAATTAAAAAATTCATTGTGATAACATAGGCAAAAATAGTGCAATAAAGAAACTTAAAGAAAGTGATGTTACCAATTGGGAAAAGGCATTTAAAATGACTTTTCAAGATCCTGGAAGCTATATAAGCTATTTACATGAAGAAATTCAATTTGGGATTAAAAATGCAAATGCACATTATAATTATATAGCACTTATACAAAGCTCTGGATATGGAAAAAGCCAAGCTGTTGGAGAGCTTTCAAAATTGAATTATTGGATATTATTATTCTGTTTCCGGTCAAATGAATCATCAGGTTTTCCTCCAAAAAC